TCCTGTATCAAACGGGGCAGTGGAGGCATGTCAGGCCTGTGATGTTTGTTGTCTCGTTAATTCTCACCCCAACTCTGTGATGTATGGTTTTCTACACCAGCTTGACGGGGAGGCTGAGGCTCAGAAGGGCTTCATGGCAGAGCATGGAGTCTAGATTTCAATCTCAGATAGCGTGACCTCAGAGATTCTGAGCTTTCTACTTCACAGTGGTTTCCACGTATCTTTTTTTTTAAAAATGAGAGTCTGCTGTCCAATGTCAAACTGTTTCCAAAGGAGCCGGGTGAAGAGAGAGAGGCAGAGGAGATTTGGTTGGAGGAGGAGGGTCCTCAGCCAGCTGCCCCACCTTGGACACTCCTCTCCTCCAGGCCCTTGGACGCCCAGGGGCGGCAGGAGCCCACTGCTCATGCTGTGCCACCTGGGGATCTGGGCGGGGCACAGGGGCCATCTGTGTGAGAAGCTGTATTGGTGGGCACTCTGGTGCCTGGCCAGAGTTTATCCTGGCTGTGTTCCCAGCCCAAGGCCTGCTGGGGGAACGGCCATGGCCTCAGCAGTCGAGGTGCACACCCCTTGGGGGTCGTTTCTGGAAGGGGTCTGGATAGGGGCCTGATTGGAGCTGCTGCCTGTGGGCCTTCTGCTCACGCCCTTGCAGGGGCTTCTCAGGCCTGGGGCTGGGGGACAGGGCCAGACGTGGGCCCAGTGCAGTGACTCCGGTTTTCTCTGTAAGGCAAAGGGCCTCTGAAGGAGTATTACAGCCGCCTCATCTGCCAGAAGCATTTCCAGCACATCCAGGTCTGTACCCCATGGCTGGAGGCCGAGGACTACCCCTTGCTTCTAGGTAAGAGGCCTGCAGGGGGAGGGCTGGGGTTTATAAGGGAGTACCTGAGGGCAGGGGACAGAGTTTTTCTGAAGAGGGCCAGATAATGAATGTTTTACCAGGTTCTTTTGCATATTCTTTGTTTTTTTAACCCTTTAATGATTTCAAGCCATTGTCTGCTCAGGGGCCCTACACACGTAGGTCTCAGGCTGGGATGGACCCTGGCTGGACTCTGGGAGAACGAGGCTGTTTCCTGGTGTGCCACCTCCCTGCCTGTTTGCCAAGGTTACCTCCGTCGGAGTGCTCTTGGCCTCCACGCCCTCCACTCACCCTGCTCTTCCCTTGGGCAGAAGGGCTGGGCGGGGCTTGGGTTGGGGTCAATTCCCAAGTCTGGGAGGTACAGAGACCACGAGGTAAACAGTGTGGACTCTCCCAGTGTGAAGGGGCAGCCCTCCCTTCTCTTGCGTTGTTGATCCCTCGGGGAGGGCTTATTGGCTGGGTGCCTATAGGTCTCAGCAGCCACTAAGCTGTCTCCGGAGTGGGAGGCGGGGAGCCTTTGTAGGCAGGAGCTCCAGCGGCACTGAGTGATGTACGGTTGCTTCCTTGGCTTTATATTCACAGCGACAGCTGGTTTTCTGTTGGGTCTGCTTTGGGTTCTTTTTCTAATTATTGTGATAAAATACACATAACAAAATTTGCCATTTTAACCATTTTTCCATTTTTAAGTGTATGCAATTGAGTGGCATTAATTACACTCACAGTGTTTTGCAGTCACCGCCACTGTCTCTTGCCAAAACATTTTCATCACCCCAAGTAGAAACTCAGAACCCATTAAGCAATCATTGCTGCGGCTTCTTTTAAAATACAGCGTGGTTAAGGAGAAAAAGGGGGTCAGTTTAAAGAAAAACATTGGTGACGGGCAGGTCATTTTCAGAAAGGGCCGAGAGGCCAGGAGCGGCAGGTGGGAAGCACCTCCGTGTCCCAGCCTCCTGCCAGGCTGCTCGGCCAACCCCAGGCAGTCGTATGTGGGGTTGGGGACTTTATCACCCCCTTTCCACTCCTCCCCGCAGGCCTCGGTCCACAGTCCTGCAGGATGTGTGGTCACCGGGCGCACAGCCAGAGCTGATGGCCCCCTCATCCTCGCCCTGCAGGGTCTGCGGACCTGGGCGTCTGCCTACACCGGTCCTCCAGTGGCCTGGACCTGCCCATGAAGGTGGTGGACATGTTCGGGTGCTGCCTGCCTGTGTGTGCCGTGAACTTCCAGTGGTAGGAGCAGAAACCTAGTCCTCCCAGGGTTAGGTTATCAAATCAGCAGCTTGGGGGGAACCAGCAGAATTGCCCGGGAAAGCTTCCTGGAGGGCTCCACCTCCCCATCTGTGCAGCTCTGCCACCCAGAGGGAGCAGGAGCCCTCTGGTCCCTGTGGGCGGGCTGGGCCCCACCAGACAGGGTGGCTTCCAGTTAGAACTCGTGTTGAATAAAAATTGGAGTCTTAAGTACTCTACTTGGGGGCTTGTGCTCACAGGGTGCAATGGTGGCTGGAATTGCCTGCACAGCTCACATGGACTTATTTCTCTCTCTGTCCCTTTAGTCTGATCTCATGTAGTTGTGTTCGAATCAGTTGAATGAGTGTATTTCTGTCTCCGCTCTTCCTGGCAAAGATGGGCAGGAGAGGGCATTTGGAGACGGTAGTGTTAGAAACGGTTCTAGAAACAGTGGCCCCACCATGAGCTGAGGAGCCAGCTTCTGAATGGGAAATCCAGGATGTTGGAGCCCGGGTTCAGATAGTGTTGGGATCAACCCCCTGATCACCTCTGAGCCTGCCTCCAGCAGGGCTGCCTTTTACCTGTTTTCTCTGCTGTGGAATTAAGAAAAAAAAGGCAGAACTTACTAAGAACGTTCTCACTGAAGAGAGCATGTAGCACAAAAAGTCCACATACCCCTTTACTGTCCCTCCTTCCCCAAATTGGTTTGGATTTTTAATGTGTATCCTGCCAGGTCTTTTTTCTATTCAGATGCCAAATCTAAGAACAGGCTTCCTGAAACCAGACTGTTCCTGCCTCCAGCTTAGCCTGCGGGTGGGGTGGAATTGGGGGGGAGCAGGTGGGCACCTTGGGTTCTGTATCTCCTCCAGGCAGCTCTCAGACCTCCCCTGATTCTCTCTGCAGCTTACACGAGCTTGTGAAACACGAGGAAAACGGCCTGGTCTTCGAGGACTCAGAGGAGCTGGCAGCTCAGCTGCAGGTAGCGTGTCTGCTCCCACACTGTGGCTTGCAGGGTTTTGGAGATTCCTTGTTCCTGCAGCTGGGTGGGTGGCCCTGGGCTGTGTATGGGTGAGCGGGCAGCGGTCTCAGAGGCTGGGCCCCATTGGGCCCCGGAGGGATCAGGGCTCGCCCCACCTGCCGTCTGGGTTTATGGAGCTCACACCACACAATGATGCTAGAGCCAGGTGGACTGTGCCATTTAGGGGGTGATTGGATCTGAGAAGGGAGAGTGAGGAGCGAGGGAGCTTCCTGGACCGGCCTTATGAGATGGGTGGGCATCTTCAAAGGATACTTCTTTCTTACTACAAATTACAAAAAGTAACACGTCATCATTCTTGATCATTGAGACCAAGGGCAACAGACTTTGGAAAGGCTCAGAAAAAAACATTTTAGACTTTGCCATAGTCTCTGTCAGAACTACTCAACTCTGTTGTAACGTGAAAGCATCCACAATCTGTGGATGAAGGGGTGTGGCTATGTTCCAATAAAACTTTATTTACAAAGACAGGCGGAGGGCTGCATGCAGCCCACAGGCTGGCGTCTGCAGACACCTTAGTTTAGCAGAGCTGGAAAGAACGCAGGCATCACCTAGTTCTCAGTACGTGGGCAGGACAGTGCTGGGTAGAGGCCAGCTCTTGGTGGAAGGAACAGCAGAGCATTGCAGAGGCAGAGGCGGGGGGCTGCCGGCAGAGCATGGGGTGTGGATGGTGAACACTGCAGCTTGGCTGTGCCGTCAGGTCGGAGCAGAGCAGGAGATAGAGCGTAGCTGGGCCATGAAGGCTCCCCTGTGCCTGGTGAGGGAGGGGGGCTTGCTGGGTCAGGGACATTGGGGACAGAGCTGTTGAGAAGGGTTAGTTAGCCAGGCCTGGTGTGGAAGCTGGGCCAGAGCGGGAGTCCCGTTGGAGACCCCAGGACACTGGTGGTGGTTCTGGAAGTGCGGTGAAGGAGGCAGGGTTTTGGCAGAATGACTGGCCTGGCATCTGGGCTTGGGGTGCAGCAGAAGCCTGGGCTGCTGGGAAGGAGGAGGGGCAGCTTGGGGTGGAACCTGGGGTGGGGGCAGGAAGCAGTGATGAGGTAGTTCTGGTCTTCTAGATGCTTTTCTCAAAGTTTCCTGATCCTGCTGGCAAACTGAACCAGTTCTGCAAGAACCTCCGGGAGTCAGAGCAGCTTCGATGGGATGAGAGCTGGAAGCGGACAGTGCTCCCTTTGATTACGGACACGTGACCCCTCGGGCCAACGACTGAAACTCCTGAGGTGTGCTGTGCTGGACATCATAGAGAGACCCTCAAGCTGACACCCCTCCTTACCTTTCATCTTCCTCCCCAGGAGCTGGCCCACACTCCCCTCCTCACAGCCGCCACTGCTGGCCAGTCCCTGGGCAGACTCTATAGATCAGCGTCTCCTGGTGGATGGAAGCTGAAAGGCTGGCAGTGGGCACTGCCTGGGGAATGAAGTTACTTTTAATAATCAGGAGTTTTTGTTGACCAGGAAGCTGGCTTAGCCTGCTTTCATCTTTGGAGGCTCTGAATCCCTTCTCTCTTTTCTCTTCCTGTCTTATGAGTCTTTCTTTTCCCCAGTTTATGACTTTTCTGTTATTTGTGTCGTCCTGAACATCTCTGCATCCTTGTTTTGTCTCCTGGTGTCTGCCTTTCCCAGAATTGCTTGGTTGTGTCCCTAATATTTTGATTCCTGCCTTGAAAACAGACTTTGCAGCCCACCGCCCTGCAAGGGCAGTCAGATGTGCCACGTGTGCAGCGGGCTCGGCTCCGCGAGGGATTTGCGTCCAGGTTGGGGGGAACATACTTGGTTTGTTTTTTTATTTGCGCGAATGAAATGCTTATCTCTGAGCCAAAAATTTCATTTCTGATTTATGGTGATTTTCTTAAGGACTAAGCCAGCTGGCAGAGAGGGGTCTACACGCTTGAACAGTTTATATTTTATTCGAACAGTTTGTGGTTCCCGATTCAGAATTTAACATTCTTCAAACATTCAAGTCCAGTGCAAGTTTTATCACATTCTTTCCAGAACAGTGATTTAATTTTCACATTATTCTTCAAAACCATTTATAAATCTACAGCATTAGTTTCAGAATTGCCATCTCCGAGTGCTCTTCGTAGGGAAACAGTTTCTGGTCGTGACGAGGCACTTCTTCCCACGGGATTCCAGCCCGGCCTGGAGACAGAACATACGCGTCTCAGGATGTGGGGTTTGGGGATGGGACACCACCCTATCAGTGTGGGGCTTTGGGATAGGCCTGGGGGTGTGGGGGGGTACAGACTACAGATTTCCAGGCCCCATCCAGACACCTGGAATCAGCCTCCAGGGGTGGGACCAGGAATCCCATTTGTAAGCAGCTCACAGCAGCCAGGTTTGCTGTGTCTGCCCACTGGGCCGTGTGCATCCCTGGAAAGTCATGGCCCCGTCTGGGTCCTCCATCCTGTTACCGGGCACAGCTCAGTAGGAGCTGAGGTTTGAACCCACGTCTGCCTGACAGCTCAGCCTGGTGCCTTCAGAGGCTGGACCTGTATCAGAGGGGCTCACGTCCTCTGTGTAAGCACAGATGTCTGACGAGCCCCTGGTAAGAATTGTTTTGTCATCAGTTTTTTAGAAATGAAAAATTAGTATTTATAAGAGTGAAATACTAGACATACAGTGTATAAGTGTCATGATACTACCATCCGGGTATAACATGTTAATAATAATGTTAATTGGTGTGTATGGAGTTTCCCCATATGTGTATTAACATGACAGTTATTTTTTTAAAATAAAAATGAGCTTAAAAAATGAGTTTATACTGTATATGCTGTTTAGCACTCAGCTTTCTTAAAATACAGCTTGGATATTTTTTCACATAAGCATCTGAAGGACTTCGTTATTTCTCGAGGCTGAACACCCGCTGTCAGTGGGACACGCTGTATAGGGTGGGCGCTGGTCCTCTCTGTCAGCAGAGGCAGCTGTGGGAGAGCTTTGTTTGGGGGGTGGGGGATTGGGGCAAGCACAGGGCTCTGCACTGCTGCCCAGTCATGTGTGGGAAACCCTGATCAGGCCTGGCTCGTGGTGAGGACTGCAGAGTGGGGGTCATGGGGTGGGGGGTGGAGAGTGGGAGCCAGCTGCCTGGCTTCAGTCCATGGGTGCCTGGGTGATTACTCAGCTGCCCTGCACCCCAGTGTTTTCACGGGTGGGACAGAGGATGGCAGCACCCCCCCCGCAACAGGTGCTAGAGGGGCTGACGCAGGTCAGGTCTGAGAACAGTGCCCACCTGCAGCAGTGGCAACTCAGGCAGACCCCACCCCCTTCTCTAAAGCATCCCTCACTCTTCCATTTACTGTGTGCTTGATCTAGTAACAGCAGCTGCCGTTTTCCCGAGCACACCCTTCGTGCCAGCCCTGTTCCACCTCTGAGGTGGATGTTTCTGCTGTACAATGAATGAAGACCTGGAGAGGGGTGGCCCAGCTCCACCTGGGACCCACCTCCAGAGCCTGCACCTGACTGCTGTGTGGCCAGAACTCATCTACCCTGATACCAGCTGGCATCCACCATCCTTTCCATTTTACAGGCAAGAAAACTGAGGCCTGAAGTCTCTGAAAACCTGCCCTAAACACACAGTAGGACTGCTGGTCTCAGACTTCTGAGATCACCACGTCAGCCATCTCCTCCCCAGAGCACCAACTCCCTGGCCCTGGCTCCTCTGCTGACCTCCTGGGCGGAGGGTGGGGGGTCGTTGGCCCAGCACATTGTGGTCTGGGGCTTCCTGGCTTGTCTCCAGGGCCCCATTCTTTTACTTTCCTGATTTCTGCCTCCCTGGAGTCCTGTGTGTGGCCAGTGCAGTGGCCCTGCAGGCCTGGGTGGCAGCCCCTCAGAGCCAGCAGCCCGGCCAGGGGCCCGGGGCTCACCCAGCTCCGTGGTGAACAGCTGACATGTCTCCGGGTTGCGGATGGTGAAGGCAACGTAGGCGTCAGGAACCCGCTGGTCCTTCTGGCAGGCAGAGAGCTTCTGCAGGACCCCGACCAGGGAGAGGACAGTTTCTGGGCAATATAGCACATCTGCAATAAAAACCCCAGGTTACTGGAAGGGGCTCCTCCAGGACCCCAGGATAGAGGCCTCTGGGTTGTGCTGACATGGGCAGCAGGGTGAAGGCCTGGAAAGCAGCAGTTCTATTAGGTTCGTGCTGTTGGACGGTAAGAAAATTACGGGGGTAAAAAGAAAAACCCTTAGCAGAGAAAGCTGCTGAAAGACACTGCAACACATGAAAAATATCCAGGACTCGCTGGTGTTCCTTTAAAAGAAAAAATCAATTCTCTGCCTATGGCCTGTTTAGAAGATGCTTAATGAAGCAAACCCTGACTGCCTCAGACTTCTTGTTTCCTTCCTGTTGGGGGGGCAAGCCCCCTCCCGCCCACCAGCTGGGCCTGCAGGGATGAGCTGCTTAGCCTCTGTGCTCCAGCCGCTCTGGGCCTGGGTCTCAGGGCCATGGCCAGGCCAGAGCACAGTACCATCGGCCAGATGGGGCTGGGTGAGCGCCGTGGAGGGCAACGGTCCCGTTGGTGCCCACACCATATGCCCCTTCCCTCAAGGGTCCCATCCTTGCACCAGAGTGGGTGGTCCCTCCTTGTGGGACTCGTTTTGAGGACCTAGGACAGAGATAGACAGGCAGAGCGCCTTCGGCCTCAGGGACACACAAGCATGCACGGAGAAGGAAGCAGGTGCTGACAGAGGTGGGGCCACCCAGAGCTCCTTCCCTGACCCTCGGCCTGGCCCAGGGCATGCAGAGGAATCAGGATCATGCCGTTCTTTGTGGTCCTGAAAGGACAAGGCTGCTGTGGCCACTTCCACCCCCATCTGAAGACAGGGGGTGTAGGTGGGGCCAGCTCAGCTCCCTTGCTTTGTGGGGCTGCTCTGGCCTATTCATTTAGGTTCTGGATGGCAACTGAGAGGCCTCCCTCAGGCTGCTGGAGAGGGACGTGAAGTCTGTCCGCTGGGTTGTGGCCTGGCTAAGACTGGTCACCCTAGTCTGGTGCCCTGGGGCCTGTTCTGTTCATCGCAGGCCTTGCTGGGAAGAGCTGGTTCCTTTATAGGATGGACCATTAGCGTGGCAGTAGGCATGGCCACTGTCTCAAATGGGAGGGCTGTGGCTTAGGGCACCCAAGAGGCACGCTCTGTGCTTTGATGTCACCCTGGAGGCCCACACGACCCAAATCCCGTCATTCCTCCCACCAGGCAGCACTCACTGGTGGGAGGTGGCTCACTGAAGGTGGCTCACTCACTGGCTGGAAGGTGGTCCCCTTCCCGGCACTGAAAGCCAGGTGGAGCTTCAGGGAGGCCACACTCCAGTGGCCTAAGCTGGGCGGTACCTGCGGCAATGATGATGTCCGGCTGGAAGGCAGCAAGCTGAGGGACCGTCACAACATCCCAGTCCACCCGGGCCACCATCACCCTGGGGCTCTCTGCATCGGCGGTGTCGTGTTCTGGGTGCTGGGCCAGGGCGGCGACATTTGGCTCCAATGAGAGGCCGTTGAGAAGGACGTTCCCTTGGAGCTGCTCGAGGACATGGCTGTGACAGTCGCTGAAGACGTATGCTCTGGGCCGGCACATCTTGCAAATGACCAGGCCCGTGAGGCCGGCTCCACTGCCAAGCTCTAAGACAGTCCTGCATGACAGGGAGAAGCGGCTGTGTCTGTGATCCCCCTGTGGCAAACCTCCCTGGTGCCCAGCCCTGCACCCCCAGGTCACCTATGAGCAAAGCCCGCTGGGTTCTCCATGGCCCACTCTGCCAGGTAAAGCGCGGCATTCCACGTGACCAGGCCCGTGGTGCCGTGGGAAATGATGGCCGTGCTCTCGCAGAGTGTGATAGAGTCCCCGGAGGGCTAGGAAGAAACAGGGAGAGAGAATTAATCCAGCAACCAGGGCAGGTGTGGATCACATAAGGAATTAGGATTTGAGTCTAAATGTGATGGGGAGCCACTGGCGGGTTCTGAGCAGGTGACACAACCCTCGTGAGCTCAACGTGTCAGTGGGGACAGAAGAGGGAAGCAACAGGGCATGTGGTAGACCCGAGGACAGTGACCCCAGAGCCCACCTAGGAGGGAACCTGCCTGCTCCGGTAGTGGGGGTGTGAGGGCCCCGAGGCAAGGCCTGAATGGCTACTCGAAACACTTAGAAATGTGTGACAATAACAGAAAACATCATTTCAGAAATAAAGGCTACTCAAAAAAGCATGAGCATAACAACAAACCAAAACATAAAAACAGATAAACCTTAAAGAGAAACAGGAAGTGAAAAGGAGCAAAATTTTAAAAATCAAAAAGAAATTAAGAGATTGTCATGGGTTCAATCGTTTCCCCCCAACATTCATATGCTGAAGTCCTAAGCCCCAGCAACTCGAAATGTGACCTTTTTGGAGATGAGGTCTTTTTTTCCTCCTTTTTTGGCTGCACCGTGCAGCTTGCGGGATCTTAGTTCCCCCGACCAGGGATTGAACCCCTGCCTTTGGCAGTGAAAGCACGGAGTCCTAACCATTGGACCACCAGGGAATTCCTGAGGATGGGGTCTTTATAGAGGGAATCAAGTTAAAATACAGACATAAGGGGACCCTAATCCAATCTGACTGTGTCCTTATACGAATAGGACATTAGGACACACACGCGGGGAGAAGATGGCCATCTGCAGGCTGAGGAGAGGCCTGGAGCACATCATTTCCCTGCAGCCTCAGAAAGAAACAACTCTGTCGACACCTTGATTTTGTACTTATAGCTTCCAGAACTGTGAGATGATAAATTTCTGTTGTTTAAGCCACAAATTTTTAGGTACCTTTAATGAAACAAAAGCAAAGAACAAATACTAAAAATTATAATTCAAGAAAGCATTCCTGAGAAAACAAACAGATTTGAAATGAATATTGAAAGAGTATACACTGCACCTGAGGTCACTGACTCAGAACGATCACAACCTCGAGACGTAGTCTAATAGAATTACTGGACTTTAAAGAAAAAAATGCTTTGGCTATCTAAGAGAAAAGGGCATGTGACATAAAAGGGAAAGAAAATTAAATTATCATCAGGCTTTTGCACAATGATGCTTTATGCCAAAGAAAGTGGAGGAATATATTTAAGAGACTCAGGGAGAGAAGGTGTGAGTCAAGATTCAAGTAAAAATGGCTCAATCTGTTATCAACATGCAAGAAGTCCGGGAAGGTCCATCCGACGAGCCCTTCTTAAAGAACCTCCTAGAAAATGAACTTGAGACAACCAAAATGGCTACAGAGACATCAATATACGGACCAATACAGAGACTGAAAAGTAACAGACTACGGTATGTGCCTGAGGTCGGTAATGTTTCCACCCGTATCCCTGGACCCTGTGATTGTGCTGTGCTTCTTGGCAAAGGGACTCTGAAGATTCATTTAAGGTTACAGAACGTGACATGGGGAAATGATCCTGGATTATCCAAGTGGGCCCGATTTAATCATCAGGGCTGATGTTTGGGAGATGCAGAAGAAAAAGAGGCAGGAGGGATTTGAGGTGGTTGCTGGCTTTGGAATCAAGGGGCCATGAGTCAGGGGGACAGGGCGGCTCCTAGAAGCTGAGAACAATCCTGGGCCAAGAGCCAGGAAGGAAATGGAATCACATTCCTGCAGCTGCAGAAAACGCAATTGTGCCAATGACCTGAAGGGCCTGGAATGGTCCTCCCCCGGGGGCCCAGTCCTACAGATACCCTGATTTTAGCTCTGTGAGACTCAAAGAAGAGTAAGCAGCTGAGTCCAGCAGACTTCTGACCTACAGAACTGGAAGATAGCACATTTATGTTGCTTTGAGCTGCTTAGTTTGTGGTAATACTATGTAACGGCTCTATGATGTCTATGTAGGGAGAATGAGGGTGGCACATATAAAAATTTATGCTGTTTTCAGTAACCACAGTTGGTGTGAGGGATTAGTGCTGTTGTTCTGAGATCGCTGCACGCACGAATAATATGGGATAAGCCAAAGGCAGTTGGGGGATATCCTAACATCATCCCTATGCTCTTGAGAACCAAAATTTCCAGAGCAGAAGAAAGGAGATAGGGATCCAATGCCGAAGAGGCTGAGTGAAAACCCTTCTGATCCTGAATCAGAAACATCGATATGGACTCATGAGGTATTTTCTCTTAAAAAGTATGGATATGTATCTCCACCCATATCCTAGCTCTGTCCGCGGAAAGGCCTAGACAGCAGCAATGATCATCCCTAATGCCCAGACTGTGGTCTCTAAATATCATTTCCCACTAAAAGAAACTAGGGCTTCTTGAAGACATGGCTGATTCCAGGTCTGGGGCAGGAAACATACAAGATGAGTCTGGAAAAGCTTGACATAAACTAAAGTAAGAAAACTATGAGGTGATGTCAAAGGACCCAGAAGCCTATTTGAGGGGACTTCCCTGGTGGCGCAATGGTTAAGAATCTGCCTGCCAGTGCAGGGGATACGGGTTTGAGCCATTGTCCGGGAAGATCCCACATGCCGTGGAGCAACTAAGCCCGTGCGCCACAACTACTGAGCCTATGCTCTAGAGCCCGCAGGCCACAGCTACTGAGCCTGCGTGCCACAACTACTGAAGCCTGTGCGCCTACAGCCCGTGTTCCACAACAAGAGAAGCCACTGCAATGAGAAGCCTGCGCACCGCAATGAAGAGTAGCCCCCGCTTGCCACAACTACAGAAAGCCCATGCGTAGCAGTGAAGAGCCAATGCAGCCAAAAATAAATAAAATAAAATTACTTAAAAAAAAAAAAAGAAGCCTATTTGAAGTGACTCAAAATAGCACATTTTGAGCTTCAGTAACGATGCGATTTGCAATGGTTTGAACCCCTACTGGGAATGACAGGAAACCAATTCACTATCTTGAAAAGGAAAGAAGTCTGTATTCTGCCTTTCCTCTACTAGCTGTACCAGTAGGTAACCAAATACGGATGAAAGGAGGCACTTCCTTATAAAATTTCTCCAGCTAATGAATGAAAACAAAATGATAGAAAAATCACTGGGACTTCCCTGGTTGTGCAGTGGTTAGGAATCTGCCTGCCAATGCAGGGGACACGGGTTCGAGCCCTGGTCCAGGAAGATCCCACATGCCATGGAGCAACTGAGACTGTGTGCCACAACTACTGAGCCCACGTGCCACAACTACTGAAGCCCGTGTGCCTAGAGCCTGTGCTCCGCAACAAGAGAAGCCACCGCAATGAGAAGACTGCGCACTGCAACGAAGAGTAGCCCCTGCTCACTGCAACTAGAGAAAAGCCCGTGAGCAGCAACGAAGACCCAACACAGCCATAAATAAACAAATAAATAAATAAATAAGAAAAATCACCTTTTTGCATCCTTCAATGAATTAATGAGTCTAAGCTTTAAGCACCCACAAGTGCTACCATGAAGAGGATAAAAAAAGAGATGACGTGACTTCTAGGACCCAGGCTGTTTTCTTGCCAAAGGGGTCAAACAGACAAGAGTCCGAGTGGGCCTGTGAATCCAGCCGCCAATTTTTGGGGGACAGAGGACAGAGGAACAAGCTGAACAGCACCATGTGTGTGCGACAAAAAGCCAGCTTGTGGAAAGCTGTCCAGGCCAAATTGCCAGGAAGAGCTGGGGGGACCTGCGGATGAAGGGAAATTTTGAGCCAGACCTAGTTAATGGGCAAGACTATGCCCAGAGGTGCACATGGCAGTGGTACGACCTCAGTGATTACTCTGAAAGAGCGGGAGGGCTGGGATGGGTCAAATGAGGGCTTTGTGGGCTGGCTGCCCAAGTCCTTGGCTAGATTGGCAGTTACCGTGGTGGCCGCCTTGCAACAATTCGATAATCTAATTCTTTTGCATGGTTTTCTGTGTCTTTGTTTTAAAATAAAAGGTTAAAGAAGAAAGAAAACAAAAACTGTTGTGTGTAGAATGGACTTCTGTGGGGTAAGAAGCCAGGTGACCAGTGAGAAGGCCAAGCACCAGGTCAGCCTGGTGATGGTGGCAGTGGACAGTGGGGAGAGACAGCTGTCCTGTAACATCCATCCATCAAATATTTATTGAGGTCTGAGCGCCAGATCGCTGCTGTGCAATTCATGTGTGTTACCTAATTTAATGCCAGTCACCCCGTAAGACAGGTGTTATTTGTTGAACTGCTTGGTTTACAGGTGGGGAAACCGAGGCTCAGGAAGGTTAACTGACCTCGTCTAAGACTACAGAGCTGAGGAGTCAGGATTGAAGCCACATGAGGCTGACTGGAGCCTGAATCAACTGTGTGTGTGTGGAGGAGGGCGCATGTCTCCTACCAGCAGGTAGCTCCGGTGGCACTGGGTGGGCTCCTCGGCCGTCAGGACCTCCGCCAACGCCTCGTACAGCTCGTCCAAAGGCTCCGTGTGGATAGCCTCGTGCTGGGGGCGGGCAGGGCGAGAGCTTCAGCAAAAGGATTAAGTTGACCCTCGTGAATCAAACCAAGGTTCCACCTGCTTGCTTTTTTTTTTTTTTGTGGTACGCTGGCCTCTCACTGCTGTGGCCTCTCCCGTTGTGGAGCACAGGCTCTGGACGCGCAGGCTCAGTGGCCATGGCCCACGGGCCCAGCTGCTCCGCGGCATGTGGGATCTTCCCGGACCGGGGCACGAACCCATGTTCCCTGCATCGGCAGGCAGACTCTCAACCACTGCACCACCAGGGAAGCCCCCACCTGTTTGCTTTTACTATGACTTGTAAAAATGGCTGGAGGATTTTCACCAAATTTGGAGGGGAGACTTGGGATGTGATTGACTTAATACAGATCACTTGGTGGGGGGACCTGGGGGACCTCAAAGAGAGGTGTAGAGAGGGTGAGGGTGAGGTGTAGTGTAGGGCAGGAGAAATGGGATATGTGAGAGCTGGCAGGACAGAAGGAGAAGGTGGCATTTCCCACATTCAGGGGTTCCTGGTAGGAGTGGGAAGGTTCCATGGGGGACCAGGACCACAGAGGAGATGCAGCCACTGCTGGAGACCCCTCAAAGCACAGAGGAAGTACCCTGGCCCCTCCTTTCCTCCCTCCCTCCATGGCTTCTCATTGGTGGAACTCAGCTGGGAGCAGTTGCCCAGGGAGCCCCCTGCTACACGGGGATCTGTAGAGCAGGCAAAGAGTATGGGATGGATCTGGGCTCCAACAGGCAAAGCCCACGTTTGGAGAGCCAGCCAAGTCCTAGATGCTGCCTGGTTACCAGATGGCCAGTGCCCATCACTGACCTTTCTGATGAGCTCTGAGAGAAAACTCCAGGCATACTTCACTGAGGGTGGATGCTTCATGCACAGAGGATGCTTCACGGTCTGTGACGAGGAACACAGTGTGGGTTGCTGGAGAGACTCCACCTTAAGTCTCCCATGAGCTTCAAGTGAATACAGGGCAAACCCCAGTTATCCGATTCCTGGAATTCTGGCCCTGGGTGACCCTTATGCATCTGAAAGAGTTTAACATATAAGCCCTTTCCTAAAAATATTTCTCCACTACAGTGGCACAGACCATGGCAGTGTTTCTAATGCCCTTTCTGGGCAGGAACATAGGGCATACGGACTCAGGCTAACACCCTGCTGTAGACTGAATATTTGTGTCCACTCTACATTCACATGTTGACCCTAACACCCACTGAGATGATATCAGGAGGTGGGGCCTTTGGGGCGTGATTAGGTTATGAGGGTAAAGCCCCCATAAATGGGATTAGTGTCCTTATAAAAGAGACCCCAGAGAGCTCCCTTGCCCCTTCTGTCATCTGAGGACATAGCCAAGAAGACAGCGTCTTTGGACCAGGAAGTGGGACCACACAACACACTGAATCTCCTGGTACCTTGATCTTGGACTTCACAGCCTCCAGAACTGTGAGAAATAAATTCCTGTTGTTCACAAGCCACCCAGTCTGTGGGGTTCTGTTATAGCAGGACTAAGACATCCCCCTTCCCAGAGCAGCCAGCAGGAACTAGAGTTTGTAGTGAGGACAAATGTGGGACTGTCTGGCTCCATGGAAGGGGTGAGAGCTCCAAATGGTATGACAAGGCAGATTCAGCACCTGCCCTCTTGGAGATCACACCCCCGGGTGGGGTGCTGCGCTGACCAGGACAGAGGAAGGTGGGGACTCTGCCTGGGATGTAGTGGAGAGGGATGGGGGCTCTGAGGGCAACACTTCGGCTGAAGTTGAGAGAAGCAGAGAGCAGGGGAATGAGTTCCAGGCAGCTGGGTAGCTTGTGCAGGCCCCCACCTGGCATTTTGGGAGGGAGGGCAGGGGACGGGAACAGTGAGAGTAGGGCCTGTGTCACATGGGACCTGCTGGCCGGAGGGACGTGATTTTACTCAAGGGCAACAAAATGTCCACACAACTCTTCAGGGGCTTGGCGGGTGTTAGGTTTTAACCTTGGGGTGAAAAATCAGAGCAGACTGCATGACAATGGCCTCCGAGAGGTCTGAGCTCACAGTCCTGAACTGCTGGATCTCCTGGGAATCTTCCCTAGCTTGTGCATCTTCTCGACACGGTGGTCAGATGGATACTCTTGGTTCACCCTCCAGACAGGAATTCTGACCCTGGGCTCTTTGGACAGGACCAGTGGTTGGAGGGGTGTGTATGATTCCCATGCATTTGTACACAAAATGTACTCTTCTGGAGCATTTTTTCCTTGGGGTAGTGTCCACACCTTTGGGTTTTCAGAAGGATTCATGACCCGTAAGAGGGTAGAGAGCCCGGATGCACTGTGATGTACACCTGACCCACATGGCCAGGGGCAGGCAGAGTGGGACAGGCCGGGCAGAGTGGTGGTCCCTCCTCTACCCACACCCAGATGCACCTTAGAGTCCAAACCCCACCTACAAAAAGCAGGGGCCCATCCACAACTAGAAAAGACACACTGGTGGGCAAGACTTGCCTGCTTCTTTTCCCCTTAAACGTTAAAAAAAAAAAAGTCTCTGAGCAGCTAGCAAATGCTAGAAGATGTTCCTACAGCTGTCATCTCCACTTTCTCTGTGGACGGTTTAAAAAAACATCCCCCAGGTTCCCTCCTCTCATGCAGCTTGTTGTATATTCTGATGTCTTTATCTAAGAAAACAAAAGAGCCGGAGCTGTCTGAGGTACTCACACCCAGATGCAGCGTCTTTCTTTTTAAAGGATACGTGTGCACCTGTTACGTCTTCATGGGCAAATCAGGCCACTGATGCGTTCCAGTGATTCTGTGATTCTTACCTTCTGCAAAATATCCAGCAGCAGCTCAGAACCTGATGAGTCCCTTAATTTCTCTTCTAGGCTCTATTCAAAGAGAGAGGGGGAAGAGAAAGAAATCTCAAGGGCATTATCACAGGAACATTAAACATGCAATGGGACATGTTGGCAAAGTGCTAAGTGATCTCTCCCCAGGGACCTGGGGCCAAATGATGTGGAAGGCACAGGCAGCTGAAAGCCTGACCTTGAGAAGTTCCGGGTTACACCTGGATGAGTCAGAGAAAGAACATCAGAAGACAGACTCTTGGTTTGCATTAGCCCTGGCAGCTTAGCCTTGCCTGGGTCACAGACCAGCTCTGTGGCTGAACTGGAATTACAGGGGGAGCCAGAGCATTAACACCTGGTGGGCAACCTGAAACCTTTCCACGGCAGGATGGCTGCTTCACTGTTCAGGTCCCGGCTCCTGTCACCTCCTTGGAAGGCCTTCCCGACTCTCCTAAATTGATGCATTTCCCTGTTTTATTGACTTTCCAGCCACCATCATCTCCCCGTGTTTTCTTGCTTATTCATTTACTTGTTTATTCTCTGGCTCTCCCATCTAATCAGGGCTTTGTCTGTATTCTGCTGATACTGGTGCCTGGCTTGTGGAAGGCATTCTGTAAACATTCGTTGACAGAATAAAAAGTACTAGCTAACACATATTCATGTAATCCTGACAACAGCCCTATGAGGTTAAGCATCATTATACCCCCATTTTACTAATAAGAATATAAAGGCACAGAGAGACGAAGTCACTTGCCCAAGGTCACACAGCTTGTGTGGGGTGGGGCAGGGCCAGAATTCAAAGCAGGTTGTCTGTCTCCCAGGTCTGAGTGCTCCAATGCTGCTGTCAACTTCTTTTCTAGTCAAACCAATGGTAAGAACAGTTCTCACCACATGGGTGCTGTGGGTGAGCCTAAGTGAGCACTTAGCATGGGACTGGTGCAGAGTAAGCACTCACTCATGAACAATTATAGTCGATATGAATTGGGCCCAATGGATGCTGTCATGAAAGTTTAAATTTGGGGTTAAAAAATGTACACATTCCTTTCTGACGGGAAATGATCTCCCAGAATGCTAAATGGTTTATGTCAATGAAACACAAATGACTAACCTCCACTCTTAAGATGGGGCAGACCTGGGGAGGAATATATGTTCAAACTGAGTCATCCCAGTGGGTTCACCGCACTTGAATTATGGATTATAAAGGACGCAGCGTCATTAGAGCCCTGGACTTGGCAGAAAGAAGCTGCTGCCTCGGCCATGCGCCTCTGTGTGAATGGCAGGTCCCCAGGGCAGGGAAGTGAGCTTTCGTCTCTTTCCTGGACTGTTTTGTACCTCCCTGTCTCTTCCATCAGCTGCCTCTGAGAGGGCTTTGTCCAATGCTGCTGACACAGATGAGAACACCCAGGCCTGAGGGGTCTGTGACCTGGTCGCTGAGTTCAACGCAGCGTGGTCTCCCGCTGCCCTGAGGACGTGGGCTGTTTAAATGAGCAGCAGCAGCTGTTACCCAATGGCCAGGATAATAACTGGCTAAAAAAAGGCACAAACTGTCCATGACCCTAAAAACCCAGCGAAAAAAGGAGTTGGGAGGAAACCCCGCATTCCTTCAATTCGTGGGACTCGGTCTACAGAGACAGCGGAGGGCGGGAAGGGCCCAGGGGAGGACGGAGCTGGGGGCTGAGCGCAGGGTGGGCCCAAGGGTGCTGAGGTGGACCTCCTGCTCCCCGCCGCCAGCCCGCGCTGGCCCCAGCGATGCCCGGGGAACCGGACGTGATGCCGGGGCCCGCGAGGGAGCAGAGGCCGCCGCGTGGCGGGGCGAGCAGGGGTGAGCCCGGAGCCCCGCTCCAGCGCGACACCGCGCTCCACCGCGACCCCGGCGCCCCCCTCCCGCCTTCCGCGCTCCCCACCGCCCACCTGCCAGGGGAAAGAGCTCAGGGCGCGCGCCGCCAAGAAGCGGCGCTCGAAACTTCGCAGCAGGGGCGCAGCCTCAGCGCTATCCTCAGGCGCCATGGCGGGTCGGGGACGGGCCCCGGCGTTGCCCGAGAGAAGCGGAGAGCGAGGCTGCGCCGGGAGGCGGCCCGAGGCAACGCGCGGAGCCGGGGTGGGGCTTGGGGCGGGGCCAGGCGCCCCTTGGGTCCTGGGAGGCGGGGCTTAGGTAGGGAGGCGGGGCTTAGGTAGGGAGCCGGGGTTCAGCAGGCGGTGCCAGCCGGAGGTGCGTGCGGAGGTGGGGTGGGGGTGGGTCGAGGCGTTGCAGGGGTCCTGGGAGGCGGGACTTGGGAAAATTGGAGGCGGGCCCTGAAGGCGGGCTCTGGGGCAGATTTGGGGCCTGGGAGGCGGGACCAGGGTCGGAAGGGGCGTGGCCAGGGTTTCGGTGGGGGCGGAGTCAGGGTTTGGCGCCAGGTTCCGCTGGGCAGGGCGGCGAGAGCTCCCAGTCAGGCCAAGGGCCAGGTAACCATTCTCGCTCTTCCAGAGCCTTCTCGAGGGTCTTTTTTGGCAGGAGCCCTCTGGGCAGACGCGTCGTCCCTTGGGCTTAATCCTAGCCCTCCCCCAACCCCTCTGGGACTGCGCCCTCAAGCTCAGCCTCGGGTGCGGGCGACTCCTCAGGTCTGTGGGCCGGTGGGCTCAGACTTTCGCAGACTTTTCTCGCCTTGGTAAAAGGCACCGACGCAAAGGTGTTGGTTGGCAAACTGCCGCGTACACGGGGGCAAGGAGAGACCGAAGAAAGCAGCAGGCCCCTCCAGGTTGGTAGGTGGCAGTTTTAATAAGTGAGGGAACTTACGAGGCATGTCGTGGGCACCTCAAGGAGAATAGATCGGTGGGTCGGTGGTCCTAACCAGTCTTAACCAGCTTGAACTAGAGACAGCTGATTCCAAGTTCCTGGAAAACAACTTGGGCAAACATCTTATTGTTTAGGCTACATCTTATTGTTTAGGCTACGTCTTATTGTTTGGGCCTAGAGGACTTGCCAGTCTTTTATAGCAAAAACTAAAGCGAGCTTGAGCGGTGAAGGCAGGCTACAGGTGTGATGGATTTAACAATGATTACCCTCGATTTCATTGACCTCTCAATGACGTCCTGCCTCTCCACACACTCCTGCCAGAATCTTAACAGTTTATAGCGAAGCCTTAACGGAGTCCAATCAGTACACAGTCCAGTATCTCCACAGAACATTGCTCTCTCAAGCCTGCATTTTTTTTTTTTCTTTCTTTTTGGCCGAGCTGTGCGGCATGCAGGATCTTAGTTTCCCCACCAGGGATTGAACCCAGGGCCCAGCAGTGAAAGAGCCAAGCCCTAACCACTGGACTGCCAGGGAATTCCCTAGGCTGCATCCTTGAAACAGCTTCTGTTGTGGGAACAGGGGGCAGAATGTACTTCTGAGGGCGTGGTGGGGTGAGGAGACCCTGGTTGACTGGGACCGGCTCAGAGGGTCAACCGGCGGTCACCTTGTTACCCAACAGGTTCGTTTGCCAGAGGCGCAGCAAGCCAAACGCTGAGGCGCCGACGTTTGCAGCAGAGAAAGGGTTTATTCACAAGGTAGCCGCGTGAGGAGACGAGAAAACAAATCTCAAACCTGCTTCCCTGTGGGTGAGGGGCTGGCGTATTTATGGGCTACAGAAGCCGGATAGTCTGGGACGTGGAGGGCGTGGGGTAAGGCGATTGTAAATAGGAAAAATGTGAGGTAATGGTCGTTTCACGCAGGTGCAAATGAGCTACAGGCATCTTCATGGGACGCTTGTCCAGGAAATGGTTAGCAGGTTCTGAGGGTGGGGTTTTTGGCCCTCTGACGTCAGAAGGTCAACGAACGGACACTCGCGCATGCCCAGTTGGAGGGTCGGTGGTCCTAACCAGTCTTAACCAGCTTGAACTAGAGACAGCTGATTCCAAGTTCCTGGAAAACAAGTTGGGCAAACATCTTACTGTTTAGGCTATATCTTATTGTTTAGGCTACGTCTTATTGTTTAGGCTTAGAGGACTTGCCAGTCTTTTATAGCAAAAACTAAAGCGAGCTTGAGCGATAAAGGCAGGCTACAGGTGTGATGGATTTAACAATGATTACCCTCGATTTCATTGACCTCTCAATGACGTCCTCCAACACAAGGTAGGAGCCCCTGATCCCTCAGCCCCAGACCCCAGTTAGGGTCTGTTTCTAACCCATAGAGTCTTTCGTTCACCAAATACTTATTAAGCGCCAACTATGTGCCTGGCACTATCAGGCACTGAGGATGCAACAGTGAGAAGAACCCGAGTGGTTGCTGCTCTCCAGGGGTTCAGGGTCTCGTGAGGGAAGTAGGTATTGAACTAATTATCACACAAACAAATAAAGAAGTACAATGGCAATATGTACCGCGCCGGTGAGCACATGGAACTATGAGGGCTTAGAGTAGTAGCTTTGACTTTGCAGGGAAAGGAATCCGGAAGAAGAGTAAGAGTGGTACAGAGGTGGGGATGGGAAGAAAAGAAAAAATTTACTTTCATTTGACCTTATATGTCTTGAGTGAAAAGCAGAACAGTGAAAGGCACTGGTGCTGCCTCTGGAGTTTGAACTGTGTTCAAAGTCTAATACATTTACCTTCACAAATCTCTCATAAAACTCCATTTGGAAGTGTCTTGGGAGCTAATTTGTTAAATGTGCTTGCACAAGGTAGATGAGAAGGACAGATGAAATCTTATTACCCCTTTCAGATGAGAAACACTTGAGCCCTGCTCAGCTATGAGAACGAGAGAGGAGAATTAATTCTAGTTGAATGCATTTATTCTCTTATATCTGTTCTTCTTCCACCAGAACCACGTGAGCACAGCATCTGACACAAAAATTGTCTTATTCCGTCAACACTTGATTTATAAAGAGGACTGACTGTGGTTATTGCTGTGTTTTTACGCGGAATTAAAGGTTTCTGGGTCTGAGATATTGCATAAATCCTTTGAGTCACAGTGTCCTGGGGTAGAAACACCTGACATATGATATGGTTGCATCTTGTCCTGAAGGAACGATGTCAGAGCTTGGTCAGGCGTACTGGTTCACCTGTGCTGTTTTGATCAGCTTTCTGCCTGCAGGAGACAGTGAACACCAAGAGGAATGGGTCAGTTAAACTCATAAATACCACACTTTCTATTAACACACATAATAGCTATTAATTGCCTTTCCTCTGAGGAGCAAAAGGACATGCACAGTTAACACCAGAGTAAGTGATACTGCATGATGTTATACTAAGATATTAATAAATCTAGGCTGGTCCAGCCTTCCTGATGCCCTAGATAGCTAGCAGATTGGGGAAGAACCCTGAGTGGGCCACACCACTGACCTGCACACAGAAGATACCTTTATCTTTGTGTGCGGGCTTTGGTGTGGGGACAAAGATCATAAGGTAATACATCTCAGATCTGAACTTGGAAGGATCAAGGCACTGAAGGGATTTGTAATGTCCCATGGACCTCACAGGTGTGGTGTGTTCAGGTGTAAGTGAAGATTAGGACTGCTGTTTAACATAAAAAGTGAAAATTCCAGGTGGTGTTGATGTTTCAAGAAGCATTAGGGTATATCCAATTAGTCCTGTCAGTGGCAGAGGAGATGTGTATGTGCACATGTTATAGTAAAGATTCAGCCTCTGGATTTGAGGCTTTTTTTAATGATGATGATAAAAAGCTAATGCATTTTAACTGTATGGAATGGTTGCCTTTTAGAAATTATGCTGTGGGACTGGCCATTCAATGAGTACCTTGAGGTTTTTCCTTTATCCCTCCTATGGCTAATGGTTTCTGTAGAAAAGGACCAACTGATTTCTTTCTAAAATGTTGCTTCAGGGTGTAGAGACCTTTATAGGTCATGTTTCAACTTATAGGAAAATTTTATAGTTCAAATATAAATTATGTTAAATGTGGGCTTTGTAATGGAGTTAAGGTTAAGTAAAGTTCTGACTTTCCTTAGGCTGTTTACAGTATTCAGGAGGCCCCCTTACTGTTGAGTCAGGGGCTCTTTGAACGTAGAGAAACGGTCAGGATTGGGTGTAATAAGGGTTGCGGGAGGCTCAATTTCCTTATATAACTTTGGAAATGTAGAAAGAGGTGCAACAGGTCCACAGAATGCTTTGGTTGGTGGCAGGACCAGTGTTATGGGTTGAATTGTGTTCCCCCAAAAGGATATGTTGGAAGTCCTGACCCCGGGTACATAGGAGTGTGACCTTATTTGGAAATAAGGTCTCTGCAGGTATTATTAAGATGGGAGGAGGTCATACTGGAATACAGGGGGCCGTAAATCCCATGACTGGTGTCCTTATAAGAGGAGAGAACACCATGTGAAGACAGAGACACAGGGAGAAGTTGGCCGTGTGACGGTGGAGGCAGAGATTGTGTCTACAAGCCAAGGAATGCTGAGGATCGCTGGCAACCAGCAGAAGCTAGGAGAAGCAAGGAAGGAGTCTCTGCTACAGATTTCAGAGGGATCATGTGGATACCTTGATCTCAGACTTCTAGCCTCCAGTTCTGTGAAACAACAAATTTCTGTTGTTATAAGCCACCCAGTGTGTGGTATTTTGTTACAGCAGCCCTGGGAAGCGCATGCGACTGGAACATAATTTTTGGGGCCCAGTGCAAAATGAAAATGGGG